TCCTCCTCCTCCTCCTCCTCCTTCCTTTTCTTCTTCTCCTCCTCCTCCTCCTTCTTCCTTTTCTTCTACTTCTCCTCCTCCTCCTCCTACTCCTCCTCCTCCTCCTCCTCCTCCTCCTCCTCCTCCTCTGATAACGTTCCCTATTGGGTCATAAAACGTCTGCAAGAAAACCACCAAACTCAGAGAGCACCAAGGGCCCCCTTAATTCAATCCTGAGCTACAAATATTCTCCTTTTATTGAGAATTTTTTTTGGCCTGACAGGTGGCTGGTGTGATAATTTATGTTGAATTGTGGGGCTTTTTTTTTTTCTTTTTTGGTCTGAATAGAAAAGTACGGTGTCGTTCCGAAGAAGGTTTTCCCTGAATCCAATACCTCTGAGACCTCCAGACGGATGAATGACATCCTGAACAATAAGGTAAGTGGGACTTGGACCTCGGAGGAAAGATTGACTCTGGGGAAATCTCTGACTCAGGAGCTTCCCGGAGAGACCAGCTGAGTTTGATTCACTTGGCAGCTGACTCACATTTACGACGGTCGCAGAGTCCCGGCGGTCCCGTGATCCCCTTTTGCTGACCTTCTGACCAGCCAATTGACCACCAAGAGGAGACTGGACTGCCCTCTGCCAGAAATGGTGTAGGGTCTCCCGCTTGGGTGGGGGGTTGGACTGGATGACCTCCAAGTTCCCTTCCAACTCTATTAATCTGTTATTATTCTGTTATTCAGAAGTTGTGGGAGCTTCATCATCCCTGGAAGCTTTCAAGAAGAGACTGGACTGCCACTGGTCAGAAATGGTGTAGGGTCTCCCGCTTGGGCAGGGGGTTGGACTAGATGACCTACAAGGTCCCATCCAACTCTGTTATTCTGTTACCATCTGTTATGAACTCAAGGGGGAAGCCAGATTCGCTTAACAACCATGTGACTCACTTAACAAATACAATGATTCACTTAGCAATGGTGGCAAACAAGGTCGTAAAACAGGGCAAGACGCAGTGAACTTGTGTCAGGAACTTGGGCTCAGTTATGGTCATACAAGAAGGACTACCTGGAGCATAGTAAAACACTCAGCAACCTAAATTTTGGGCTCATTTGTTTGTGGTCGTAACTCGAGAACTACCTCTAGTCCACAACTTACAAGAGTTCACTTAGCGACCGCTCAAAAGTTAGAACAGCACCGGAAAAAAAGGGACTTACAATTGTTTTTCCACTTAACAACCATTGCAAACATCCCCATGGCCACGTGATCAAAATCCAGATGCTGAGCACTTGATTCGTATTTATGACGGCTGCGGTGTCCACCCCGGAAGTCATGCGATTCCCTTTTTGCGACCTTCCAACAAGGTTAATGGGGGGTGGGGGGGGAGCCAAATTCATTTAACGACCATGTTACCGACTGCAGCGATTCACTTAGCAAGCAAAACCGTAAGATGCACCAAAAGTCACTTAACCCAGGTGCCACTTAGCAACCTCACTTTTGAGCTCAGTTTTGGTCGTAAGTCGGGGACAGCCTGTAATATGTATGCATTATGTATATATTACATATATACGTGTGTGTGTATAATATAATTATATATTTTATATTTATGTATGCCTTAATTATATATCGACGTTTTTAACTGCTGGCTGAGAGTTTAATACATGATACAAGAGTTTAATACATGATGGGCAGCTGAACAAATGCTTTTCAATAAACAGCTAAGTCACCACGTAAATTGTTTGGGGGAGAAGCAACTCCGTGCAGAGGTCAGACGAGGAGGAAGAGGCAGCAGAGCCCAAGAAATTAAGAGCTGGGAGATCAAAGGCAAGGAAACCTAATTACAACTCATTTGCATTTAATGTAAATACTAGCTGACAAATCCTCCCACCCAATTCTTGGTCAGGCATCCACTCCCCGCTTCCTCTGGGTCTTGACAAGGGGCCTCATCCCTCCGTCCAGGTTCATTTAACAACCAGGTTGTTCACTTAACAAGAATTTGGTGGGAGGATTTGTCAGCTAGTATTTACATTAAATGCAAATGAGTTGTAATTAGGTTTCCTTGCCTTTGATCTCCCAGCTCTTAATTTCTTGGGCTCACTGCCTCTTCCTCCTCGTCTGACCTCTGCACGGAGTTGCTTCTCCCCCAAACAATTTACGTGGTGAATTGGCTGTTTATTAAACAGTATTTATTTAGCTGCCCATCATATATTAAACTCTGAGTGCTCTCAGCCAGCAGTTAAAAACAACGTCAATAGATCATTAAAGGCATACATAAATATAAAATATATAATTATATACACATGCATATACATACATATAACAGATGACAGATCATCAGAGTTGGAAGGGACCTTGTAGGTCATCTAGTCCAACCCCATCACCCAAGCGGGAGACCCTACACCATTTCTGACAGATGGCAGTCCAGTCTCTTCTTGAAAGCCTCCAGGGATGAAGCTCCCACAACTTCCGAGGGCAACTTCTGTTCCATTGGTTGATTGTTCTCTCCCGGATCAGTTTCCATCCATTATTCCTTTTCTGGCCTTTGGGTGCTTTGGAGAATAGCTTGACCCCCTTCCTCCTCTCTGGCAGCCCCCCAAATATTGGAAGGCTGCTCTCCTGTCTCCCTCTCCTCTTCCCTAGACTAGCCAGGCCCAGTTCCTGCAATTGTTCATTGTATGTTTTAGTCTCCAGTCCCCTCATCCTCCTGGTTGCTCTTCTCTGCACTTTTTCTAGAGTCTCAACATCTTTTTTGTAATGTGGTGAACAGAACTGGATGCAGGACTCTAGTCTTACTAAGGCTTTATAGAGTGGTATTAGTCCCTCCCTTGATCTCGATTGTATCCCTCTGTTAACGCAACTTAGGATTGCATTGGCTTTTTTGGCTGCTGCTGCACAACATCGGCTCCTATTTAGCTGGTTGTCCACTAAGACTCCGAGATCCCCCTCCCAGTTCCTGCTATTGAGCCTGGTTTCACCCAGTCTATTATATGTGTCATTTGGGTTTTTCTTGCCCAAGTACATTACATATAAATATATATGTAATGTATGCATAATGCGTTCATATTATAGACAGTCCTCGACTTACAACCACAAGTGAGCCCAGAAATTCGGTTGCTAAGTGGCACCTTGGTCTGAGTGAGTTATGCCCCAATCTTATGACTTTTTCTGGCCACGTTTGTTAACCGAATCCCTGCAGTCGTTGAGTTAGTCACACGGTTGTTAGGTGAGTCTTTGCTCCCCATTTTATGACCTTTCTTCCCGCTCTTGTTAAGCGGAATTGCTGCGGTTATCAAGTTCATGGCACGGTCGTTAAGTGAATCTGGTTCTCCCCCCACCCCGCCCAATTGATTTTGCTCATCAGAGGGGTTGCAAAAGGGGACCACGTGACCCCAGGGACACTCTGACGGTCATAACTATGAGTCGCATGCCAAGCACACCAATTTCGATCACGTGAACGGTTGTAAGTCTGCAAAACGGTCATAAGTCTTTTTTTTTTTCAGTGCTGTTGTAACTTGGAACAGTCACTAACAGGTAACAGATAATCAGAGTTGTAAGGGACCTTATAGGTCATCTAGTCCAACCCCCCACCCAAGCGGGAGACTAAATGACCTCTTGTATAAGCCAAGGACTACCTCTCCTTAAAGCATTTATTTATACTATACAGCCGCCCATTTTATATCAAACTCTGGATGTTCCCAACCGTCAGTTAAAACAACGATCAATATATCACAAATGCACACGTAAAATCTATTAAAAGCACAGACATTAAAACCGGGCACCAAGGTCAGAACTTGCAGTCCGTCGTTAAGCAAGCTAGTCTCCAAAGCACCTGAGGACAGGACAAGAAAAAAGGGATGGAAACGAATGAAGGAGAGAAGAAAAAGCCATGTGGAATTAAGGAGAAACTTCCCTAACAGTGAGGACAATGAACCAGTGGAACAGCTGGCCACTAGAAATTGTGGGTGCTTCACTACTGGAGGTTTTTAAGAAGAGACTGGACAGGTCTGGAATGGTCTAGAATTTGGAAGGTATACTAACATGTATTTCTCCTTTCCAACAGATGCGGGAATATTGCCTTCGGCTACGAAACATGGTCGAGACCGGATGTAGCAAAGAGGAGCTTTCGGCAGCAGTCGACACCATGATCGAGGAGGTAGGTGGTCCTTGGGGAAGGGACCCCCGTCCCGAATTTGGGGGTTGCTTCCGAAGTAGTATCTAACTAACAAAATTAAATTCGACGTAGAGAAAAGGAAAGTCCTACATTTAGGCAAGAAAAACCCAAAGGACACCTATAATAGACTGGGTGAAACCAGGCTCAATAGCAGTGACTGGGAGGGGGATCTCGGAGTCTTAGTGGACAACCAGGCTAAATAGGAGCCAATGTTGTGCAGCAGCAGCCAAAAAAGCCAATGCAATCCTAAGTTGTGTTAACAGAGGGATACAATCGAGGTCAAGGGAGGTACTAATACCACTCTACAAAGCCTTAGTAAGGCCACACCTAGAGTACTGCACCTGGTTTTGGTCACCACACTATAAAAAAGGATGTTGAGAGTATAGAAAAGGTGCAGAGAAGAGCAACCAGGATGATGAGGGGACTGGAGGCTAAAACAAATGAAGAACGGTTGCAGGAACTGGGCCTTGCTAGTCTAGGGAAGAGAAGGACCAGGGGAGACAGGAGAGCATCTTCCAGTATTTGAGGGGCTGCCACAGAGAGAAGGAGTAAGGGGGTCAAGCTATTCTTCAAGGCACCTGTAGGCCAGACAAGGAACAATGGATGGAAACTGAACAAGGAGAGATTCAACCTGGAAATAAGGAGAAACTTTCTGACCATGAGAACAATCCCATGGAACAGAAGTTGACCTTCTGAAGTTGTGGGAGCTTCATCCCTGGAGGCTTTCAAGAAGAGACTGGACTGCCTTCTGTCAGAAATGATGTAGCATATCCTGCTTGGGCAGGGGGTTGGACTAGATGACCTACAAGGTCCCTTCTGATTCTGATTATCTGTATCTAGTATATTCCAGATTTGCAGCCATGCCTCCAAAAGATCTTATCACAAAACCTCTGGCTGGTACAGAAACCCAGAATGAGTGTTTAAAAAGTTTTTGGGACTTGTGGAGCCCAAAATTTCCCTTGCTAAGTGAGACTGTTGTTAAGGAAGTTTTACTCCCATCTCTCAACCTTCCTTGCCGGAGTTATTCAGTGACTCACGGCAGTAGTTAAAAGTTGGTACCACGGTCGTTAAGCGAATCTGGCTTCCCCATGGGCTTTTGTCTGTCCAAAGATCCCAAAGGGGGAATCGTTGTAATCATCATAAATGTGAGTTAGTTGTCAAAGCATCCAAATCATGTGGCCACGGGGATGCTGCCACGGTCGTAAGTGTGAAAAACGGTCATAAGTCCCTTTTTCCTCAGTGCTGTTGTAACTTCGAACGGTCACTAAGTGAACTCTTGTGAGTGGAGCGCTACCGGTAGCCCTCCACTTAACAATCATTTGTTTAGTGACAACTATTTATTTATTTATTATT